TAACACCTGGCTTAGACAACACGAGCAAATGGTTTTGATGGTTTTGAGGAGAAGCAGTGGTAGTAATGAAGAGGACCGATTATATAGAAAATATGATGCTGGCTTTAGCTGATGATGATACGTATAGAATTATAACTAAGGACCCTACAGAAACACTTATGTCGAGGCCTAAGAGTTACCTGCAAAAGTGCGTTAATAGTGAAGAAATCAATACACTTCTCCAACGTGACACTAGACCTCCTGATGCATATGGTCTGCCCAAAATCCAGATGGGGTCCCAATTAGGATCATTGTAAATAACAAATATGGTGTGATGCATAAAACATCACGATTCCTTTGTGGCCAATTAAGGCTGATCTCAGGTTTTTGGAAATTTTAAATGAAGAATTCTTATGACTTTATAAAGTTAATAGACGAGCAAATAATAGAACAAGAAGATTTGCTAGTAAGTTATGATATAGTATCGATGTACACGAATGTACCGCTAAATGGGGCTATACAGGCATTAGATCTACACCCAGAGAAAATATCAGGAAATAAGATGATCAAAGAGTCAATCATACGATTGACGAACCTAATAATGGATAGTACATATTTTATCTTTAATCGTAAATTATACGAGCAAACCAGAGGGTTAGTTATAGGATCATCTTTTCCAGGCTCGATTGGAATTCCGGCTTTTTCAAGTCATTCCTAGTTCCGAAACTATTGGTCAGATATATGGATGATTACTTTACTATCTGGTAGCATGGCAAAAAAGTCTTTGAATGACTTACTTGTTTAAAAAATAGTCAACTAAATTCAGTATGGAGTTAGATAAAGACAATAAGTTACCCTTTTAAATGTCCTGGTTAGTAAAGGAAACAAACTGAGTAGATATGTATATAGGAAACCCACAAATACTGGTTTCCTTCTTAATTTCATCTCGAATCATACTTATGGTGTTAAGGTAGGAGTATTGAAATCAATTACAATAAGGATTTTACGCCTAGTGGATGTAAATCATCAAGAACAGGATTTAGAAAAGCTAAGAAAAATCCTAGTTTAAAACAATTAACAATTTTGAAGGAAAACTATTATTTTGGACAAAAAAAAGAACATACAATTCTTGTTTAGGTTCTCAATGCTACTATGCTGCAATCTTTCAAGAAAGATAGGCGAATTATTGAGGAGATGGAGTGTCAAGACAAGGCATAAAGAAACAATAACGCTTTCCTTGATCTGGCTTTCTTTTAGAGCATCTTTCGATGCTTTCTGGAGATCAGGTTGTTATGATGTTTTTTGTTCATGTGGTAGTGTTTATATGGGAGAGACTTGCTGACCCATACATAAGAGGCTATCAGAACACAGAACCGCCTGCAAAGGTTTATAGATTCAAAAATCGAAAGTAGCTAAACATGTGGTGGCTACAGAACACCAGATAGAGTGGTTTAAATCCCAACGTTTTGCCGGATATGGGAACTTCACAGCTAAACTGAAGATCAGTGAGTAATTGAAACTAATAAAACAAAGAACATCTTGAATAAGTGGAACAAATGTGGAAAATGAAGTAATAACTATTTCTGGCTTATAAATATAATGAGAGAGAGAAGGAAAGGTAACAGGAAGAGCTACTGAGTAAGAGTAGAAGACTAGACTAATCTGAAGCCTGTTTTTAAACAGAAAATTGCTAACCAACTCGGGGTTGTTGATTAAACACACAAATACGCATCCACGAAGCTGTAAAAAGACTCAAGGCTACTTGATCATACAATAGTTTATTTACATTGGCAAAAGTTGTGACCACATCCGCTTCCCTGCCTGCATCACTTTGACCCATTTACATGCATGTCGGACAAGCATAAGTCCGCCAAACAAATCATGGAATGCCTCATTTAGATCGCAAATTGAGGTATAGGAAGTAGGATCTCAGCTGGCCACCTTTCTCAGTTAAGTGGTTTAGTGATTTTTTGTGAATAATATTTTCTGGCTCTGACGATGACAGACGAAAGCTTAGCATGGAATCATCGGGGTCGTAGGACGATGAGCCGAGGTATTCTTTGCACAGTTTAACAGCAAAAGACCAAGGCCACCCTCCTGTGTTATCCGGTGAGGCCAATCTACTAATCCCTTCGACGAGCTTCGCAAATGAAATAAAAGATACACCAATATCAATCTATTAAGGGATTCTTCAAAACCCAGGTTCTTTTCATATGACAAAGTAAATCCTTAATGGTCTAGTTTAGAAAGAGTGGACCAGATTACGCAGATATAAGTATAGGAAATCCACAAATGCCGGTTTCCTTGTGAATTTCTTTTTCAACCACACTTATGGGGTTATGAAATCTATTATAATAAAGAACCTTGGTCTAGCAGATTGCAAGCATCGGGAAGAGAAATTTAGAGGACTAAGGATAATTCTGGTTGATAAAAATTATCCACAAGGGCTGAATGACAATATTAGAGAGAGGAGAATAACGAAAAGTGCCACCGGACAAGAGTAGGGTTGATTAGACGAAATTGACATTGGTATATGAAATATCTATTTACCAAAATAACGATTCAATGCTAGAATAACTATAGGAGATAGTAAAGAACTAAGTTATTCTCTAAATAAGGAAGTAGAACCGGGATTAAACAAACAGGCATACGTGTATATGATAATACATTTAGCATAATACTGGCTATTTCACATAGTTGATAGGAAATATAACGAATATGATGAATAGTAAAGAAATGTGTATTCTTTGGATATAGAGGGAGAGAGACTATGTGAGAATGTGCTAACTTGCTTGCTTAGATAAAAGATAGGAAAATGTGTGGACCAAGAAACGTTTACAAAAAGAAAATCAATCCATCTTTTATCCTGTGTCACTGATTTTAGAAACGTGTCAACAAATGTTAAAAGATATAGAAGAATATGAAACAGCATTTAGATGATCGTAGTGACTAATCAGAATTAAATAACTGGCATATAAAAAGCAATAAACCAAGTAAATGTGAATATAAAACAAACATTTTCCATTGGGCAACAGAAAGCGCCGAAACCAGGGTTTGGACAAAAAGACCATCCTAAAGAGCAGGCAGGCTGGCGTTCAGAATAAACAATTTCCCCTGGGTTGACAAGTTTAAGCAATTCGGTTGGTTGAATAAATGCATCAGAATCAGTAGAGACAATAATTGACCGTATTTTGCGAACACATTGGCCGTATGGCAGGTTGCAATCGTAACCCTCAGGACAGCAATGCTGACCATCAGAACAGCAGACAGCCTAGAGATACGTGAGAATATGCAATAAGAATTTTTTTAGCAAAAAAAGAATTATAAGTCTTAACTTAATTAGGCAAATATATAGCATTGCAAGTATGAAGATTTAACCCAACATTGATATATTTTAGCATATAGCATAAGGTATCGGCTCAAATTTATGAAAAGGTGGTTAGGAATATTCGTGAATTGCGTCAGCAATTTAAGGAAATGATCGTTCTAATATTCTAAGTAACAAATTCGATAAAAATATGGAGCCTTAAAACAATGAATAGCTAAGAGGAAATGTTTTGTAAACAACGGTACATTCAATTAATCTAAAACTTTAACAGATACGGTATCAGGTATTACCTATATAAAGATTATCATCAGATAAAGAAGTAATCGAGTAAAATATATTTGTATATATGTCTTAGATTAAATTGGGGAAAAAATCCAAATATATAAAATAATAAGAAAAACAAGTGGTGGCTTGGCGCGCGTCTTAATGAGTAAAAAAAGGAACATAGAAAGTTGGTATAGAGTAAAGCAATCAATGGCAAAGTTGTCATAAAGATTGTAATATACTAATGATATTCAGTATTGTGAATAATTTCCCAAAACTAAAAAGACTACAGATTCATGAAAAAGAAAGAGGTGTTATCTAAGAGCAGGAGTAAAACCATAAAGCACACATGACATGATGGGACTCAATAAGATGAGGATTCTTAAGGATGGTGATGGTTTAGTAATATGAGATGTATTTACCCAATTTTGTTTAAGGTGATGAAGGACTGGTAGAAGTAGAATTTTCCCACAAATGATATGAGTTGAGCTGACGTTTCCTGAATTTTACATATCTTTGTTTTCCCAAAGGTTGTTCTCATCCAGGGTGGACTACAGTTTCGCATCGGTCTTATCAAGTAGTAGTAGTCGATTGTTATAGAAAATATACATTTGATTCATCGACAATCCCACGAAAGAATATTATATACAAAAAGCCTAGCCCTCGTTGAAAATTTATATTTGCCCTGTGACCCAAAGACACTCGTGGCAGTGTAGCCGAGTGGTTAGTGTGTCAAGCTCCCATCCTGCACTGTCGCAGTTCGACTCCTGCTTAAGGTGTTGATAAGACCAATGTGAGGTCGAAACTGCAGTCCACTCTGGGTGAGAGCTATGTGAAATTCGATAGAAACGTCAGCTCAACTCATATCATTGTGGGAAAATTCTTCCACCAGTCCTTCATCACCTTAAACGGAATTGGGTGAGTTACTGGTAGTCTCGAAAATATACTTAAAGCGAAAAATAAAGAATGGTTTAGGTTTGATTAGAACCAGAATTAAAGTCAGAAAAGATAATACAAACAAGGAATCGGTAGCCCCTATTTTCCCACGATGAATTTGAACATACACAAACATCTAGTTGATATCAAATTACGACGGATACGGTGGCGAGGATCGAGGTATTAGTATACCAGTTCGATAGGACAGTGATTTTTAAATTATACTTGAACTAACACACTCTTCGAAGTTGTTGGACCAAAATAAAATAAAAAAAGGTAAGAGATACATTCATAGCAAAAAAGTAGGATTAAAGGATTAGGGTAGAACTTTAGGAGCTAGAATAGGAAGGAGATGTCACAACAGTCGGAAAATCGGACGGGTTTTACTGGGTTCTAAGGATGACACTTCTCAATGAAGATGCCAAAGACGAAGAAAGTAAAACGGCTTGAATATGCCGAATCAATTGTCCGATACTAGAAATTATCACGAATATTATAGCAGACTTGGATCCTTCTTCGAAGTAAATAATATTAATAAAGCAAAACAAAGGTTCGAAAAAAAATAGGAACAAACCAGCTTAGTCTGTACATCTACAGTGCTTGGGAAAAAGCAGTCATTTAGGTAAGGTGTTATCACGAACTAATGCACGCAGTGTTGGTAAGTGGTATGAGACCTCATACGTGAAATATAGAAAGCATGCTAAAAAAGAAAATATTGTGAATGGGTAAATGATATCATATATGGAATCCAGTCCACTAACAGAAAGGTAAGGATGAAGATGATGCTAATTTCCTTCTCTTATAAGTTTAACCTAATATAAGCAAATTAACACAGGTTGTTACAACATGATTTCATTTAAAAACACAAATGAATTCACCAGTGGAAATGGACAGCATCCGAAATCACCACTCGACATAAGGCAACACGTTTCGTTGTTTGCGCAGCTAAACCTCCTATCAGGACATACGTAAGTAAGTTTAGTTGAAAAACCTGATGAAGCCTGAGAAATCTCATGAGAAGAGATGAGTGAATCGCCGGAAACTCTTAGGACTTCAGAATCAGTCGGTACGCACAGAGTAGCATTTTTTACACATTTATGTCTGGAAGGACAACAGTGTCTATGGTCGGAACAACATACTGCCTGAAAAGCGATATATAAGGAAAGAAAGAGCAAAAAATAATAAACACCAAGAAGATTTTGAGTGCATATAAGATGGAAAGAAAAAAACATTATTTTTGATTTGCCTAAAGCTATTAATTTTATTTTCTAGGCCGAATAAAAACCCTGTATCACGTCGGCTTCTTAAAGATAAAAATTCAAATTATCACATCTGGAATAGGTGGTACTAATTGTATCTGAAATAATACGTTTATGCTAGTACTCTCATCTTCTTAGTATTAAATCAACTGTATATACATGTTTTCGTTATTAAGTAGATTTTCGAGACTACCAGTAAATCAGATAAATAAGATGTGTCTACTGGATTTCGTTTAAGGTCATGAAGTACTGGTAGTTGACTTTTCCTACAATGATATGAATAGATCTAAAGTTTTCACTGAATTTCTCATCCTAGGTGGACTGCAGTCCTTTTGGGAAAGCAAGGCTATGTGAAAGTCAGTGGAAACGTTTGCTATACTCATATCGGTGTAAAAATTCAACTAGTATTTCTTCATCCCTTGGTCAGTAATACTATATAGATGATTCTAAGCAAAATTAGAATCTACGATTTACAGAAAAATTATAGTATAATTTATATGCCTCACTAACATCAGTCATAGGACAGCATCCAAATTTGTGGAGCCCTGCTTCGCAACATTTCGACCCATCTGGGCACTTCGTTTTGTTGTCCACGCATACATTGTACTTGATCTCAGCAGTTTCTGAAACCAGACTAGTGGATAAGGTTTGTTTCACTGGGGCAGGTGTATGAATATATGAAGATGAAAGTTGGGCAGCTAGAGAATCCATTGACTGGAAGTCATTCGGGATGCAGTGTGGTGGAGTAGGTCTGCATTGAGCATTTCCGGGACAGCAGTGTTTTCCATCCGGACAGCACGTAGCCTATGCGAAGAAAAAAGTTAGTATTTAATTCCAAACTAAATACTGTAATGGATACTAGGTTTTTTATAGCTAACATCATTTAAGTTACGTAAACATGGAGAATAAATGCATAAAATAGTGGGTAAAGGGCATAGCCATCATGAACTAAAAACTCGTATTTTCGACACATCCTTAGTGTTTGTCAGACAAATACACCCAGATTTTAAAACCCGCCTTCAAAGCGTATAGTATATAGACAATGAGAAAATACAGTCAACTTTGGAGAAATGGTGATCGTTTTCGCGACTTGGTTGTGCTTTCAGGGTGACCTAGTTAGGCACACCCTGCCATATATCCTCTAATGAAGTAGTTATCAGAATCCCCAGTGTTAGATAATGGACTCGGGACATTTCCAGTCGTTTCGCCGGTAACTTCAAAAGGCTTTGCCAGTACAAGCTAAAACGCGTTAGAAACAAGAAAAGTCAATCAATTGAGTAACTTGCTGCTGATCAATTGTTATAGAAATCCACATTCTGCCCTATAATATCTACCTACTTCCTATCACTGACTTCCGCGGTATCGCAACTTCTGTCTTGTCTATAATCCACAACTCAAGAGAAGTTTTGGTAAGTTTACTGTGGCGTCATCAACCTCCTGTTTACCATGGAAGACAATGCCTAATAACCGCAAGCATGGAAATCAGAGCCTATGCGCTCTGCAGATGATGCGACATTGTACGTACTACTGAAGGCTTGAGAAATACCGCCTGGAGTAAAAAGTATACTGGGGCTTAACCAGAAAAATAAGAAACGGATCTACCTACCCATGAGGCAGATCCGGACAGGAGGACCGGATCGAATCGACCACTTGAAAGAGAGGGAGGGGAGCAAGGCAAACAGCAGGTGTGATGACGCTACGTAAAATTTGCCAAAAAGGCATATCTCTTGTGGAATATAAACATGTCAGAAGTTGTGACAGGATGATGGCGAGACAATAGGGTAGGAAATGAATAGAGGGGTCAGGACAGAATCTTGGTCAAGGGATGGGCTTTACTTAAGTCTCTTTGATGAGTTGTAGATTGGTGTTGAGAATGGCAACTCAATGACGATGCCAGCGAAACGTCTGGGAATGCACCAAGTCTACGATCATGCATACTATAGACTCTGTAAAAGGTGCTTTCTTTTAGGTATTCCTGCCACTATGATCAAATTCCGAAAACAAGGTCAAACGACTACTACAAACTACTGCAGGAACAAAGTTGCTCTTGATGGTTAGTTTAAAAGACACCATTCTCTATCATTAGGTAAAAAAATATTGTTTGAAATTTTAGAGAGGTCATAAAGGATAGAGAAAACATCTAAATTAGAGAGCAAAAAGAATTTCGAAAATCTGATAGAATACTAGTGATTCGCCATAATAGTTTGAACCCATTACACAATGTTGAATCTATCCGCCCACTCAGCACTGTAAGCTGAAGCGATAACCCACAGACCTCGAATATTTATAGTAAATATACAGCTTAACGGACCGGACAATTTATGATTCAAACATAAGTCAGCTTAGCTGCGCAGCTTCGGCCTGCAGTCAAACTGTTAACCATCAACATCCAAATCAATCGCACCTAAGCATATTATCTATACCCTGCACTCTTATAAAAAGCTGAGTCAAACGTCCGACTATAATCAGAAGCTGGGCTTTACATATAGCCGTCTTGAGTTATCGAAGGGCGTAATTCTCGATGCGAGAATTACAAGTCAATCTCCTTTAGGTCTCCATATGCTAAGTGTAGTTAATTGCTCTCTACCTAAGCGCAGCATTTTCGCTTTTATAACGTCTTTAAGCAATGGAACAGACATGAAAATTCAAGATTGTCATCTTCACGATAGTAAGGGTGCCACCTTCATTAGGGATTCGTATTTTCTAACCAAGCCAGGTTGTTAAGTCCCGATTAATGGAGGAGACGTTTATCGCGAACCGCATGCATTTCTTACAGCTATAAATCTGCAGCAGTATAATAGCACATTCGAGTGAAACCTTAGCGTAAGGAGGGCTCAGTCAGCGTCGAAGCGTAACAAAGTGCTCTAACGTTCGTCAAATTAGGTCTGCGTCTACAGAAATCTATTTGCGCCGAAGCAGCAAATTTTTTTAAATTTCTAATAAACACTAGGTCACTATAGAACCCAATATTGATGCCTATCTGGCATGACTACTATGCAACACTCAGACTTGGTTGGCTAGCTCTAACAATTCCCTTCTGCGAGACCCCTTCCCTCTGCATAGCTATGTATGTATACATCTATGATATATATTTTATGATAGCTTAATATGACCAATCAAATCACATAAGTATAGGCCTGCAAAAACGAGATCTTAACATACATCTTTTAAACTAAGGAATTTTCCTAAACAATTAAACCTGAAGTAATGGATCATGGGTCAGATACTAGAACCAAAGTAAATTCAAGCCTTGAACTAGCTAAATTAGAAGTACACAAAATGATAAATTTAACCTTTTTGATGATAGTTTTGTAATGAAATTAATGAAAAAAACTGTAGTCTTGTCTCGTCGAGTGATGTCTAAATAACCTGATGCGGCATCTGCTATAAGGCTCCTCTTACTCAAGATCTACCCAGATAGACCAGAGCATCCGCAAAAAGATCCACTCAACAGAGATAGGAATCATAAAGACTGAAGTTAGAAAATCAAGGGAATCAGTATGCTGCCTTCTTCTCAGTATTCCGGCGCATGCAAACTGAGCTAGCGTTTCTTTATTTAAAGATAAGGTAAATTTCGATTAATCTATGAGTATTTTGATACTGGTACACTTTCATTTCGTTTGGTAGCTTGAATCTATTGAAGTGTACGAAGAAGACCTCGGATAACCGTCATGTGATGGACATCGTCGGAGCCAGAAACCATTATTCACGATAAATCAGCAAAAAAAACAATAAACCAAGAAAGGTGGCTAGATGAGATCCAACTTAATTCTTATACCTCACTTTGTGAGGTATTTCATGATTTAGTTCGCTGTTATAGGCTTATCCTACATACATGTAAGCGTGTCAGTGATGCAGGAAGGAGAGCGGATGTGGTCACAACTTTTTCCCATGTAAATAGACTAGCATGTGGTCCTGTAATTCTAGGTCTTGGTAGAGTTCGTGGATGCGAGATCGTGTGTGTATGCAACACTCATGAATTTTAGATCCAAAAGCAAACTCCAGTTTAATCAAGTCTTCTCTTACTCAGGGGCTCTTACTGTTCCATATCCTTCTCTCTCTTTCTCTCTCAAATACGATCCAGCAGTCAGAAAAAGTTCTTACTTAGTTTTCTATATTCGTTCTTTGATTTATTAATTTCACTCGACTCGTTGATCTTGCGATTAGCTATAAGGTCCGCATATCCTTAAAAACGTTAGGATTTAAATCACTCTATCTAGTTTGATGTATTTCCACCCTCTCCGATTTCTGAATCCATAAACCTTTGCATGCGATTCTTTATCCTTATGTGTCGACAAATCTCCCCTACAACAACCTGATCTGCAGAATGCAAATGAAGATTATCTAAAAGAAACCATGAACAAGGAAAACGTTATTGTCTTTTATACTTTGTCTTGACACTCCATTTCATCACTAATTCACATATCTTTCTTAAAAGTTTGCAGGACAGTAGACTTAGGAATCTAGACAAAGACACTCTGCCTCTGGGAGACTAACTTAAGACTAAAGCCAATGAGTAATTGTCATGATCAAGCCGATGCTTCCTTGACCACGTCAATGGTAAAACAGACCTGCTACCGACCAACTAGCTCTAGTCACTACTGTTTCTGGTCCTCCCTTATTCACCCAGTACAGTAGGGTTGAAGAGGGAATCAGCGGGGACTGTGAATAGATCTCACTAAATCCGGACAAAAGGGCATACCTCAACTAGGCACAGATAAGCAAGTAAAAATTGTGATAGTGGTGTTACAAAAATATAGGATAGGTGAATACATTGTGAGAAATATCACAACTTTTTACCGGACAATTGTTTAAAAAATCGACTTTACTTGTCTATTTGACAAGTTGTGGCATGATGCTAATAATGCTAGGGCTCACTTAAGAAGTAAGCAAAACGTCTCGAAATGTAGTAAGTCTACAGTCCGAATGGAAATTACTATGGAGAATATTGACTCTGGGCAAAGTGCGTTCCTCCAGGTCTTGTTGTCAATATGACTAAGTTGTGAAAACAAGATCAAAAAATGTGTACACCAATTTAAGCTCTT